TGTGCCTATTGTCCCAGCTACTTGGGAGGCTGACGCAGGAGAATCACTTGAACCCAGGAGACGGAGGCTGTGGTGAGCCGAGATCACGCCACCGCACTCCAGCCTGGCGAGAGAGTGAGACTCTGTCTCAAAAAAAAAAAAAAAAAAGAAAGAAATTATTCATAATATCCCCAAAGTGGAGAATATCCATTAACTAATGGATAAATAAAATATGACATATCCATACAACGGAATAAACTCATCCATGAGTACTGCAAGTACTGACCCATGCTGTAACAGGGATGAACCTTGAAAACATCATGCTAAGTCAAGAAATCAGTCACAAAAGATCACAGAGTATATGATTACACTTAACAAAATGTCCAGAATAGGCAAATCTATACAGGCAAAAGGTAGATTAGTGGCTGTCAGGCACTAGGGAAGCACACTTTGGAAGATATGTAACAGTGACCTATAAAGGATACAGGGTTTCTTTCTAGGTTAATAGAAATGTCCTAAAATGATGGTGGTGTTGGTGGTATAACTGTGAATATACTAACAACCAGTGAATTGTACAGTTTAGATGGGTGAATTTAAGATATGTTATGTCTTCATAAAACTCTTACCCCAAAAAAGTAGGTATTATGGCCACACATGGTGGCTCATGCCTATAATCCCAACAGTTTGGGAGGCCGAGGTGGGTGGATGACCTGAGGTCAAGAATTTGAGACCAGCCTGGCTAACCTGGTGAAACCTCATCCCTACTGAAAAATATAAAAATTACCCAGGTATGGTGGCACACGCCTATAATCCCAGCTACTGGGGAGCCTGAGGAAGGAGAAACACTTGAACTCGGAACACACCACTGCACTCCAGGCTGGGTGACAAAGTCAGACTCTGTCTCCAAAAAAAAAAAAATAAGTACTAGGCAGAATAATGAACTTAGGTTCAAAGTCTTCTGATAAACTCAAGCTTTAATTTCAGAACTAAAAAAACAAAAGACATATAAACATTAAAGAGATAAAATGGAATATAGAATAATTATTTAACACTAAAGAAGCCTGAGAAAGGAAACAAAGAAAGAACTAACAGGTCAAACAGAAAGCAAATAGCAAAAGTGTGCATTTTAAACCCAAAAATATTAATAATTACATCAAAATAAAATGAATTAAACACTCCAAGATTAAATACCTGAGACTGGGAGGCTGGATAAAAAAGCAAGACCCAGTGATATGATGCCTATAAGAAACTTGTTACATAAATAATATATACATATAAAGATATGGATTAAAAGTAAAAGAGGGTTGGGCGCAGTGGCTCACGCCTGTAATTCTAACACTTTGGAGGCCAAGGTGGGTGAATCATGAGGTCAGGAGTTCAAGACCAGCCTGACCAACATGGTGAAACCCCGTCTCTACTAAAGATACACAAAATTAGCCAGGCATGGTGATGCGTGCCTGTAATCCCAGCTACTCAGGAGGCTGAGGCAGGAGAATTGCCTGAACCTAGGTGGAGGTTGCAGTGAGCTGAGACTGTGCCATTGCACTACAGCCTGGACAACAGGGTGAGGCTCCAACTCAAAAAAAAGACAAAAATAAAAGCCTGAAAATGGTAAACCAGGTTAAAAATAAATTAAAACAAAGCTGGAGTAGCTGTATTAATAACTGACAAAGTAGACTTCAGAATAAACATTAATGGCAGAGATAAAGAGGGACATCTCATAATGAAAAAAGAATCAGTTAATCAGAAAGACATAGCAATCTTAAATTTGTACATACCCACTGACAATACTTCAAAATACAGGAATCAAGAACGGACAAAACTTTCTGAAAGGGGTAAGAAGACAAATCCACAAATACAGACATAGATGTCAACACTCCTTTCAGTAACTGATGGAACAAGTAGAGAGAAAGTCAGTAAAAATACAGGTGACTTATCTACTCTCATCCAAATTTACCTGAGATATATAGAACATACTGCGTCTAGTGCACATGAAATAGTCACCACCTAAAGAATGTTCAAATATTTTAAAACAAAACCACATACTTTTAAATAACACACTATTCAAAGAGGTCACACAGAAAATTTGAAAATCCTTTGTACTGAATATAATAAAAACAAATCATACTAAAATTTGTAGGATATACCTAAAACAGGTCTTGGAGTTAAAATACTAGCTTCAATAATTATATTAGAAAACACGGGCCGGGCGCAGTGGCTCAGCCTGTAATCCCAGCACTTTGGGAGGCCGAGGCGGGTGGATCACGAGGTCAAGAGATCGAGACTATCCTGGTCAACATGGTGAAACCCCGTCTCTACTAATAATACAAAAAATTAGCTGGGCATGGTGGCGCGTGCCTGTAATCCCAGCTACTCAGGAGGCTGAGGCAGGAGAATTGCCTGAACCCAGGAGGCGGAGGTTGCGGTGAGCCGAGATCGCGCCATTGCACTCCAGCCTGGGGTAACAAGAGCGAAACTCCGTCTCAAAAAAAGAAAAAAAAAAAAAAGAAAACACGTAGGGCATGGTGGCTCATGCCTGTAATCCCAGTACTTTGGAAGGCAGAGGCAGGTGGATCACCTGAGGTCAGGAGGTTGAGACCAGCCTAGCCAACATGGTAAAACACCATCTCTACTAAAAATACAAACCTACCCAGGTGTGGTGGCATGTACCTGTAGTCCCAGCTACTCAGGAGGCTGAGACAGGAGAACTGCTAGAACCTAGGAGGCAGAAGTTGCCGTGAGCTGAGACTGCACCACTTCACTCCAGCCTGGGCAACAGAGCAAGACTCTGTCTCAAAAAACAAACAAAAAAAAAAAACAAAACTCAAATTGCACATTAAACATCAGTGTATTTTGCATATGTAAATAAAGATTCAAAAAGTAAGAGTGATAAGGCACACATAAAGTTTTTAAATCTACCTGACATCATTCACAAAGATAAACATAAAAAATAAAACCACATCAAAAGAAAAAGAAGAGGGTATGTTCATGATCCTAGAGAAAGAAAAGTCTTCTTTAACAAGATATTAAAAGCAAAGCTGTAAAGGAAGAGAAAGATATATTTTATTCATCAAAATTAAAACCTTTAGGCCATTAAAAAAAAACACAAGAATCTAACTGGTAGATGTATTTTCAGCATACATAATTAATTATTAGAATCCAGAATTCAAACAAAACAACACAAAACAAAAAAGGAAGACCACCTAAAACTCAATAGGTAAAAAATGCAACCCAAAAGACAGTGAGAATAAGCAAATTCACCCACAAAGAAACCAAATAGATAACAAATATGTAAAGATGATGAACCTCACCAGCCATCAAGCAAATGGAATACCATTTTCACTCAAAACACTGTTATTTAATAACATCAAATGGTGGTGTGCATGTGTGAAACAACAGGTAATACAAGTGGGAATACCGGTTCATACAAATCCTGCAACAGAACTATGGAAGGAATTCGTAAGAGTATAGATTAAATATATACTACCAACACTCAGCAATTTACTTTCTGCTTTTTACCCTAAAGAAAATCACACGCGCAAAGAAAGCATGAACAAAGATACCAACTAAACATTTACAGAAAAGAAAACTTGCTATCAGCTTAAATACCACAGAGAAATGGCTAAATAAACTAGGATACATTATTACTACAGATGCAGTTAAAAGAAATGAAATACCTCTATATTTAATAACATGGACAGGTCCCCAAGACTTATTGCTAACTAATGAAAGATAAAGAACAATAGATTTATGTAGAAATAAACGAGAATATGATTACGTGTAATGATTACATATATGTTATGTACATGAATATAAAAAAGACTTGCAAAGGTACATACGAAAGATGTACCCCTTCTGTTGGGATGAAGGGAACAGAATTGGGAAAAGGCTATTATTAGGGGTCCTGGTCAAACTTTCACAAGGAGAATGTATTTTTGTATTATCTGTGTAAGTATAAATTAATACTGTTAAGTATAACTTTTTAAAAAATATCAATTTGCTGATTTTAAATAACCTTGGAACTGTCATCTGAAAAACCTTTTTCAACGGGACATAAGTATGGTTGCTGTGTCTTAAGGAAACAGGTTCTTTTTTTTTTTTTTTTTTTTTTTTTTTTTTTTTGAGACAGAGTTTCGCTCTTGTTACCCAGGCTGGAGTGCAATGGCGCGATCTCGGCTTACCGCAACCTCCGCCTCCTGGGTTCAAGCAATTCTCCTGCCTCAGCTTCCTGAGTAGCTGGGATTACAGGCACGCGCCACCATGCCCAGCTAATGTTTTGTATTCTTAGTAGAGACGGGGTTTCACCATGTTGACCAGGATGGTCTCGATCTCTTGACCTCGTGATCCACCCGCCTCGGCCTCCCAAAGTGCTGGGATTACAGGCTTGAGCCACCGCGCCCGGCCTTGGAAACAGGTTCTTAAAACAACAGTTTGAGAAGCCCTTACCAACTCTGGTCTACAATACCAAAATCGTTTGTAATAAATACCAATGTCTATTTTTTTTTTTTTTTAGATAGGATCTTGCTCTGTTGCCCAGGCTGGACCTCCCAGGATCCAGTGATACTCCCATCTCAGCCTCCCAAGTAGCTGGGACCACAGGTGTGTGCCACTATGCCCAGGTAATTTTTTTTTCCATTTTTGGTAGAGATGGTGTCTCATTATTTGACTAGGCTGGTCACAAACTCCTGGCTTCAAGAGAGTCTCTTGCCTCAGCCTTCCAAAGCGCTGACATTACAGGCATAAGCCACTGTGTCCGGCTATATCAGTATGTTTTAAATCTCTCCCCCATATTGCCTTCTAAGCTTTTTAAAATAGCCCTTGATCCAAGATGCTTTCAATTCCATTACCCTGCTAATTATCTTCATAACAGTTGTCACTATCTGAACTTATCTATTTATTCACTTATTTACTGTCTGTCTCCCACTAGAATAGGAATGGCAAGACAATTTTTAATACATATGATTTTAGTCAAGCCATTTAGAGTTTTCTTACATTATGAAAGACACATTTTGTTTACTTACCTTAGTTGGAAAAGGAAATTTGGAAGGTTCTGTTTTGCATGGTGTATGAATAGCCGTTAGAGGGGGAGGCCATGAATGCGTCATCTCCTGAAATGTAATTATTACAGTTTGTTTTCAACCAGGTCAAGGATAAAAATTATACAGCTAAAAACCAGATTTGTTTTTACAAATACTGGTTTCATGACAGCTCCTCCAAAATTCTACATACTTAATAAATATTAAGTACAATTGTGTGCAAGGCACTATGGTATAGGTAATAAGATTAATAAACACTCCCTGGCTTCAAGGAGTTTACAATTCAAATAAAGAAACCTGTGAATTGTTACAGAAATCAGCCTGTAATCAAATACAAGGCACATAATAAAACACTAATAAGGAAGAGCTTGTTGTGAGAGTAGAAGGAAGAGGACAATGATAAGGAAAACAGCTAACATTTACTTTGTACCTTTAATGGGCCAGACACTGTGCTAAGTGTTTTACATGCTTATTACTCATTTCATACTCACAATGACATTATGAGGTAGATACCATTATTATCCTACCTCTACTTAGGATGACACTGAAGCACAAAAGTTATTTATTCAAGGCCATACACTTAGTAAATAATAAACATTATATTTCACCCTCAAAAGTCTGGCTATAGTCTACATGCTCATAGAAAAATTATGACGGGAAGAAATCAGAAGAGAAATTTCAAAAGCACATGACGAAGAAAACAGAAAAGCAAGATCCTACGTTTGAATTCATTCAATGCCTTCTGTCTAATCTTAATGCCAAATATGTCTGGGTGAGGTCTGGTAAGATTATCTTACCAGACCTCACCCAGACATATTTGACGAGCTGAGGAGACAGAGGTATCAGAATAAGGAGAGAGTGTTTTATTTCTGGCATTTAGATCAAAGTAAGCCATCAGTTAAATTAAGAAAATACAACAAATTAACAGTGGTATAACACCTAGGAATTTATCCCATAGCAATATCTATACAGTTTTGTAAAGATACATGTACAAGGGGTTCACACTTCAAAAATTGAAACAACCACACAAAAAAACAAACAAACAGAACACCCTGAGCTGAGAAAGATCATGAAGAAAGGCTTTTCATGCTTGATGCTTATATGCCTGATAAACAAAAAAGTCTACAAAAACCACAACTTTGCACAAAGGTCATCAAAACCTTAAACCAAAAAGTATTTCCACAAGGACATCTGTCCAGCCTGTCCAATCTCAGACTGGTGTCATCCTTACTACTGATCTTTGTAGCCAAGAATAATTATTTCAAAAACAATTATGTAATCTTCCTCATTTTTCCCTTTAAAAACCTTTGTCTTTCTTTGCCTCCTTGAATATGCACACAGACTTGTATGGCACACATATTCCCATTGCAATGCTCTATTCCCATTGTCTTTTCTTTTAGAGAGCCTCTGTTATTTAAGTTGACACCAACAAAGTATTGATTAAATAAATTATCAGACATCTATAAAACAGAATACCAAGTAGACATTAAAATGAGAAATTTAACTATTAATATGTAATGATGCCCACAGTATTTTGTTAAGTGACAAAGGCAAATATCATAGTCTATGTCCTAGTAAATATTTATAACTTGCTTTGGGCAACAGAATGACAGAAGGAAGAAGAGATGAGGGCATTTGATATATTACTACTTGAACCTCTTAAAATAGCCATCTGTACAAAATTGCTCTTTATTCCCTTAAAATGCTTTGTTTTTTAAATAGAATTTCACTTCCTGAAATAATATAATTGATTAATTCATACATCCAGCTCTAGAATATCAGCTCAAAGGCATAACAGCTATCATTATGACCACTGTATTCCCAGTGGCTGACACAAAGTAGGTGTTCAATTAGCATGCCTTGAATAAATCATTTTTTCAATAAATATACATATTTTAGAGTAATTTATTTTTCTTTAAGTTCATGACAGAGTTCCTACAAATGATACAACTACAAATACAAAGAAAACATGAAGGCAACACACACCTGAAGTTCCTTGCATACTACAGATAGGAAAGGGAAAAGGAAACAAATTCATAAACTCAGGTTTTTAGCATTGGCATTTTATATCTCAAATGTCGAAATTCTCAAATAAAAATTTGATCTAATTCTCCAACTATCATTGAACAGACTGAGCACCTTTTAATTAAAGGCCAAGTGCCAAGTCCCTGTGCATATAAAATGTAGATGTCAATAACATTAAAGAGATCATTAATGTAAGAAAATCTTCCAGGTACTAATAATTCCATGCACTGTTGAGGATTCAGAGGAAAATATTACGCTCCCTTACACTTTTTATATACATGGCAACTAAGAAATGAATGAGATTCAAATGAAAGAGCAGTCACTGTAGTCTCATAATCTGAAACGAAGAAGGATTTCATTGGGATTCCAGGAAAAAACAATCTACATATAACTAAAGAGGAAGGAAAAAGATTCCAAACTTACTTTATTTAAGGAGGTAAAACAGCAAGAAAGTATGTGGCTTAGGGAAACCAGTTTTGCCAAACGTCTTTCATTTTCAATCAGTAATGAAAGAGGTTAGGACTGGCCTATAAACATTAAATTTGGGTACTATTCTTTCTACAGGTTTTAGAGAGCCACTGAAAATTTTTAAGGAAAAAATTAATTTATGAAGACCAGGGCCTGAAGTAAAGAATCAGGAAGCAATGCAAAAGACTAAACAGGGAGATTCTGGAGGCAGAAAGGCTGAGTGAGGACTCAGTGTTATAATTATTGAAGCTCAAGGTTGCAGAAATGGAAAGGAATGGATATTTAAAAAACAAAAATGTCAAAGTCTACATCTAGTTTTGCAACTACATAGAACATGAGGAAGAAATCAAAGATAATTAGGATTCTACACTTACAAGCATGGGAAAATGGTGTACTACTAATCCAAGGAAGTCTGATAAGTACGGCTTTAGACACGTTGAGTCTGAAGAAGCAAAGAGAAATAAATCCCAATGGAAACCCAGCTAAGAAGCAATTAAGAGACAATGCAGGAGAGAAAGCCTAAACAGCTGTCTAACAGATAAGGCCAAGAATGGTGGAAAAGGCAAGTCAAAGAGCAGAAAGAGCAGAGGCTAGAAGAATGCACCTGCACTTAAGGGATAAGAGAAGACACAAGGTTTCCAAAAAGGGCAAAGAAAGAGAGGCAAGAAAGGTAGAAGGCAAATAAAAACAATGAAGCATAACAACAGTCAAGTAAAGAAGAATATTTCCAAAAGGAAAAAATAAACAGCAGAAAGAATAAAAAAGAACTCAACTGATGCCTTGGGATGGAAGGAGAAAGATAATGACCACAGAGAAACAGGTTCAGCAAAATGGTAGGGGTAAAAAATAAATTATAGTGGGCTAAAGGAAGGAATGGGAAAGAAAACAGTGGAAGGAACCAATGCAGGTAGTCTTTCAAAGGTATTTACAGTAAAATAGGGAGTATAGACACCATTTCAGAAGCTCACAGAAAAAAAAAAAAAAAAAAAAAGAAAAGAAACTAAGTAATATGTGACTAACAGTTTACAAAGCAAAAAGTAGTTACTGTTATTCATTAATTCACTGGATTTTCTTTTTCCAATAGCATAATGTACTTCTTGATCATGTGTCAATTTTAAACATATTTCACTAAATATCCAAAATGTTGGCCAGGCACGGTGGCTCATGCCTAAAATCCCAGCACTTTGGGAGGCCAAGGCAGGCGGATCACCTGATGTCAGGAGTTCCAAACTAGCATGGCCAACATCTCCATTTCTATTAAAAAAAAAAAAAAAGAAAGAAAAAAAAAATTATAGAAATTAGCCAGGCGGGGTGGCGGGTACCTATAATCCCAGCTACTCAGGAGGCCGAGGCAGGAGAATCACTTGATCTCCAGAGGCAGAGGTGCAATGAGCCGACATCATGCCATTGCACTGCAGCCTGTGTGACAGAGCAAAACTCTCTCAAAAAAAATTAAAAACAAAAACAAAATGTGTAATACACAGCCAGGCACAGTGACTCATGCCTGTAATCCCAACACTTTGGGAGGCCGAAGCAGTCGGATCACCTGAGGTCAGGAGTTTGAGACCAGCCTGACTAACATGGTGAAATGCCATCTCTACTAAAAATACAAAAATTAGCTGGGCATGGTGGCGGGCACCTGTAATCCCAGCTACTCGGGAGGCTGAGGCACAAGAATCACTTGTACCCAGGAGGCAGAGCTTACAGTGAGCGAAGATTATGCCACTGCACTCCAGCGTGGGCCACAGAGCAAGACCCCATATATTTAAAAAAAAAAAAAAAAGTGGCCAGGTGTGGTGGCTCACACCTGTAATCCCAGCAGTTTGGGAGGCCGAGGTGGGGTTTTTTTATTTATTTTTTTAATTTTTGCTTAGTTTTATTAAATAAATAAATATGTCATAAAGCTTTCTTTTTCCTTAAGGAGAAAAAAAGGAACAACTTTCATAAAACCAAATAAGCAATGGTAAGGTGTCTTAACATGAAAAAGATTAGGAGTCACTGGTTTACAAGTTATAATTGAATGAAAGAACTGTAACAGCCATAGTTGGCCATTTCATGCCAATGGCAGCAAACAACAGGATTAACTAGGGCAAAATAAATTGTGTGGAAGCCCTGATAAGTGCTTAATAAACAGACTGATTCACTGAGACATCAGTATAGATACATCTTGCTTTAAACAACACAGAAGTTCCTGAAAAGTTTTGTGTAAATGATCAAGAGATTGAGACCATCCTGGTCAACATGGTGAAACCTCATCTCTACTAAAAATACAAAAAATTAGCTGGGCGTGGTGGTGCGTGCCTGTAATCCCAGGTACTCAGGAGGTTGAGGCAGGAGAATTGCCTGAACGCAGGAGGCGGAGGTTGCGGTGAGCCTAGATTGTGCCATTGCACTCCAGTCTCGGTAACAAGAGCAAAACTCTGTCTCAAAAAAAAAAAAAAAAAAAGTACAAAACTGGAAGGAAATCTATTACTCTAAGATTTGACCAGTATGTACAGATGAACTAAAGCAAGTTATTTTGATCAAAATGATTTGACTGATAACTACTGAGCTTTTTGCACTTCAAATTATTAACAGGTAAGCATGAGAAAGTACAGTTATAATCGGCTTGTTCATGTTTTCCAGGCAAAGTAAGAGTTAAGACTAAAATTTGTTTTACTTAAAAACAAAGAATGCAGCAGGGCACAGTGGCTCACACCCATAATGCCAGCACTTTGGGAGGATGAAGTCGGGGTGGATCACCTGAGGTCAGGGATTCCAGATCAGTCTAGACAACATGGTGAAACCCCATCTCTACAAAAATACAGAATTTAGCTGGGCATGATGGTGGGTGCCTGTAATCCCAGCTACTTGGGAGGCTGAAGCGGGAGAATCATTTGAACCTAGGAGGTGGAGATTGCAGTGAGCCAAGATCAAACCACTGCACTCCAGCCTGGGCAACAGAGTGAGACTCTGTCTCAAAAAAACACAACAAAACAACACAAAAAATAAAGCTCTTTGAAGGCAAATGGTAAACAAACCATGTGATTTAGAACCTATATAAGCAATAGAGAGTACATTATTTATGATGGGCATAAGTTACACATACAAGCAATCTGTTGCTTCAGATCCTTTGTGAAATATAGGTAGAAGGAGGGTAAGAGGGTAGCAGAGCATAAAAAATTAAAGAGCTTGAAGTGATTTTTTTTTTAAACTTACTTTTAGGATTTCATCCACACAGCTCACATCACCAGAAGCTGATGCCTTAAGAGAAGAAGCATCACACATTAGATTTTTATCAGTAGACTTTTAGTATTTCCTTCCCAGACTTAAAAATATTATTGAAATTATTTATGATCCCACTACTCTAAATCAGAACACTGGTTAGAATCTTTGGATTAATTTCCTTAAATACAAATTTTTCAAGCACCGGAAAATTCTAATCACTATACCATACAAAGCTGGGGGAACTTTAAAGTTTTCAAAGGTTTTAAGTTTTTTATCTTATATTTTAGATTAGAAATAATTTTTAGAATGTAATTTTTCAGGTGTGCAGCTTATCCAAAAATTTAAGCTTATCTATATATAAAAGACATTATGATACTGAGATACATCATTTCATATAAACAGAGTTAACCCATTTATGCCAGAGGTTGCAAAGTTTTTTTGTGAAAAATCAGACCTTGGCAATGACCTTGAGCAGTAGGATATAAATAACTCCTACAAGCTTAGCAATCCAATAATGAAACACTAGGCATAAATGGGTTAAACAAGTATTACTGAAAGATTACTGGGGTAAAACATGGACACTTTACACAGTCTTTCTAAATCATAAAAAGCAAATTATTTATTCTAATGCACAAACAGGAATTAGAGAGCCGAACTCCAGTCTGGCTCTAAAGATCATGTTTAAAGAAAGAACAAATTACCATTTTACTGTTCTCTTGAGAGGTGTAATTAGATAATAAATGCCACTCAAAATGAGTTTCCCAAGGCCACTGGAAAGATGTTTTATATGTTTGCAAAACAGCATTTTACATTATCCAGATTTTTCCCTCCATCATTTTGAGCTAAGAGTTATAATTTTTTGGCTACTGCTATTACTTTCCAAATTTTTTTTTTTATTGCACAAACTCATCAAAAGACAAAATTTGGGGCTTGGCGCAGTGGCTTACGCCTATAATCCCAGCACTTTGGGAGGCGGAGGCAGGCCAATCACCTGAGGTCAGGAGTTCGAGACCAGACTGACCAACTTGGTGAAACCCCCATCTCTACTAAAAATACAAAATTAGCCAGGTGTGGTGGCACATGCCTGTGATCCTAGCTACTCAGGAGACTTAGGCAGGAGAATCGCTTCAACTTGGGAGGTGGAGGTTGCAGTGAGCTAAAATCATGTCATTGCACTCCAGCCTCGGCAACAAGAGCAAAACTCTGTCTCTAAAAGAGAGAGAGAGATAAAATTTGGGTCAGGCATGATGGTCTTGTCTGTAACCTCAGCACTTTGGGAAGCCAAGGTGAGAGGATCGCTTGAGATCAGGAGTTCCAGACCGGCCTGGGCAACATGACGAGATACCCATCTCGGAAAAAAAGATAAAATTTCAGCTATTTCACAGTGAAATGTTCGCTTGTTTGGTTGTTTTGAATATCATGCTTTGGGATACGATTCAATTCAAATTTCAAACCATCACTATGAATCTGGAGCAGCTGTCTCAATCCTTTAATATAACCCGAGAGGCCGGTCATGGTGGCTCACGCCTGTAATCCCAGCACTTTAGGAGGCCAAGGCAGGAGGATCATTTTAGGTCAAGAGTTCAAGACCAGCCTGATCAACTTGGTGAAACCCTGTCTCTACTAAAAATACAAAATTAGATGGGTGTGGTGGCGCATGCCTGTAATCCCAGCTACTTTGGAGGCTGAGGCAGGAGAATTGCTTGAACCCAGGAGGAGGAGGTTGCAGTGAGCCAAGATGGGGCCATTGCACTCCAGCCTGGGTGATAGCAAAACTCTGCTTAAAAAAAAAAAAGAAAAAGCATAACCAGAGAAAAGAATCACAGCATTCAAAGAATACAATATTACCATTTCCACAGACTCAAAAGTCCCATTTACCATAACCATAAACCCCATGACCTGCATCTCATTCATTAGTATTAAGCTAAGCATAGACAAATTAATTTTGTCTTTAAACAAAGGTATGTTGTTCCATAAAATTAAAATGCAGAAATCTAAGATATCAATGGATATCAATAAAAGACCCATTCTTTTATTCTATAACTGACTTGTCATCTGAATTAGCCACCACACCTGGCTAATTTTATATTTTTAGTAGAGATGGGGGTTTCACCATGTTGGTCAGTTTGGTCTCGAACTCCTGACCTCAGGTGATTCACCTGCCTCGGCCTCCCAAAGTGCTGGGATTATAGGCGTAAGCCACTGTGCCCAGCCCCAAATTTTATCAATAAAAGATATCAATAAAAGACCCATTCTTTTACACTATAACTGACTTGTCGTCTTAATATTTGAAAACTGTGGATGACATTTTCTCCATTTCCCAAAAGGACAAGTTAACGGCTCTACAGATCCATTTGGGAGTAACTCATAAGTCTGTCTACATTTTTTTTCCATCTTTAAACTTTTACATTCCTTACTATTAAGACAAGGAAGCAGTCCAAGTTCAATCATAATTTCATGACCAGTCAATTGCTTCACAGTCACAACGTTAAAAGCTCTAAATGTGTGACTTACATCCAGTGGTTGGGAAGGTATTTTCAGCTTGGTGAGATGTGCTTTGCTGCTGGGCTTCAGCTCAGTCATGCTGTTGCCATGGGATTGGCTGCTGTAGTGCTCAGAAGACAGCTTTGGTTCCATGGACTCTTGTCCATCCATGGGCCGCACATAGGCAGTGGGTTTCTGTAACATTGAGTTGGACTTTGACATCAATGAGGGTGGGAAAGATTGATTTGAGTGCTGCCCACTTGAAAAAGGTACACGGGAAGGAGAATCCCAGTTTGCATCAGGGTCCCGAGGCGATTTGGAGCGTTGATGTTCCTTGCTATGGTGATCACTCCCATGAGACCTGGAATGACTAGAGCTTAATGAAGAAACAGCCTGGAGTTTTCCGGGGCTAGAAGAACGTGATTTGGAGTGTTCTGTTCCATGCTGGCCTTTTTTCCGGCTACTGCTCACACTACTGTTATATGACTCACGATCATGCCTCTGACTGCTACTATTAGTGCCACTACTGCTACCTGCACTGGTCCGCTGGCTACTATGTCCACTCTGTAAGCCTGAGGACCGTTTCTGAGACTGAGAAGTGCTGGGTGCGGGTCCTACTGGAGTCCATTTGCTACTCTGATGAGAGCCTCCATGTCTCTGTTCAAAGAAACTTGGGTTAGATTTTTCATCTGCTGATGGTGGTACTGTAGGCTTGGGAATTGCAACAAGCTTTGGTATAGATCTGTCTCCTATGAAATCCTTCATTTCATCGTAGTTTCCAAGCATACTCTGAATACGGCTTGATAACTTATCTTCTTTGCTAGTCTAAAAAAAAAAAATTAAAAAATAAAATTATATAATGAGCGTATTAGAAATAAAATATGCTTCTGAACTAATTTTCCAAACTTCTAATGGAAAGGGGTTTTTCAAAGGGAAGCTTTACCTCGTATCTTAATGTTAATACCTTGAAGCAAACTCCAAATTTATCATTTCTGTAGTGAATTAAAAAATCACTGAAAATTGTCTAAAAACCACGCTAAAATATAAGCCAAGTGCAGTGGCACGTGCCTGTACTTCCAGCTACTCCAGGCAGCTGAGGCAGGAGGATTATTCAATTCCAAGATTTTGTACTATGATTGTGTGCCTGCGAATAACTACTGCACTCCAGCATGGATAACATAGCAAGACTCTGTCTTTTAAATATATATAGTTTTTTGAAGGGCTGGGTGGAGTGGCTCGCTCCTGTAATTCCAGCACTTAGGGAGGCCAAGGCGGGCAGCTCACCTGATGTCAGGAATTCTAGACCAGCCTGGACAACATGGTGAAAACCCATTTCTACTAAAAATGCAAAAATTAGCTGGGGGTGGCTGGACACGGTAGCCATGCCTGTTCATTCCAACACTTCGGGAGGCTGAGGAAGGCAGATCACCTGAGGTCAGGAGTTGGAGACAAGCCTAGCCAACATGGTGAAACCCCATCTCTACTAAAAATACAAAAATTAGCTAGGCATGGTGGCAGGCACCTGTAATCTAAGCTACTCAGGAGGCTGAGGCATGAGAATCACTTGAATCCAGGAGGTGGAGGGTGCAGTGAGCCAAGACTGCATTATTGCACTCCAGTGAGAATCCATCTCCAAAAAGGAAAAAATTAACCAGGCAAGGTAGTGCATGCCTGTAATCCCAGCTACTTGGGAGTCTAAGGCAGGAGAATCACTTGAATCCAGGAGCCAGTGGTGACAGTGAGCTAAGATCATGACATGGCACTCACGCCTAGACGAAAGAACGAGACTCCGTCTAAAAAAACAAAGTCTTTTGAAGAACAGAAAAGTAAACTGCCTTTACAAAATTAAGTTCACAGTCCAGCAGATTAGCTAACATTTGTATTTTGGCAGTTTATGAAAATATTATATTCCTTATAATTCAGTGTTATAGTTAGAAGCAGAAACAAAAATTTAGTGAAACAAGTTATACCCAAGTGACTCTATAACAGAAAAAGAAATCAGACTGATACTGAAAACACATTTATTCAAACATACTAATAATCTCTGAAACTCTGTAAACTAAGCAGCAAATGGCAATAAGTAAGGAGAAGAAACAAAAGCATCTATGAAAAATATTCATTTTTTATTGATATCATACTTAAAGAACACCTAGGAAAAATCAAACGATGCAAATTGAGTCACAAAATACTAATTTAATTCAAGGCTCAGAATGGTAAAGTACCTGCCCATGGTTAGTAGCACAACTAGGAAAATAGAGATAAATGTATGAGCCAACTCAGACCACATTTTAAGAACACAGTACAGCAATAGGAGGTGGGGTGAAAGACAATTTTTAGGGTGCTGGTAATGCTCTATTTCTTGATCTGAGTACTGAATGTATGAAGCTGCTGATGTTGTGAAAATTCTTCAAGCCAGTGTATTTTTCTGTAAGCATATTATATTCCAAAGAAAAGTTTATCCCCCCAAAAAAGTATGTTATATGTAAAGGGCAGGAAAAATGTTAAGTGGTATTCATAATAATTCTTTTCTAATATAAACATTCAAGTATGAAACATTTTAAAAGCAAAAATGTCATGCTAATGGGAAAAAAAAACGTTCACAGAAGGACAACTTACAACTTTGTATGGCTCAGCAAAGAGAGGAGAACTAGGTGGGAAGGCGTCTTCGCCCTGCTGAATTTCCTGATTCCGCCTTTCCCGTTCTTTCATACGCAGCACATTCCGGTCTTCACGGTTCATGTTGCTATGAAAAGAAACACAATCTTTGTATCACAAAAATAAAAGAAAAAATAAAATATTCTGTACCGATTTTGTCAGCTTAACACTTCAATCACAGATTCCCTTTCAACTTCCAAGTAATACAGGCATTAGTGCTGAAGTTGGGTTTTGGTAATGGTTTCATCAACAAATACCAATAGTGTCTTCCACAACTATTCAGAGGAAACACTAGCCCAGAATATTAGAACCAACCCCAACAAAACTCTTAACCTTATCAACGTTTGAAGTACTCTGTTAGCTAAAAGCAGAAACTTGTACATTAAGAATACAAATCCTCAATATTTCCTTTTGGGGCTTCCTCTTCAGAAATCTATCTATTCTTTGCCCTTAGAAGCATAAAACCCACTCCCAACTACCACCCTTCCCCCCAGGGTCCAGTTCTTTTCTCTACTTTGCATCTACCTTATCTTGATTTCTTTTTGTCCCCAACACAGCTTCCTTGGTGTCCATCCTTATGGCAGTTTGACCTCAGCTTTGCTGTTGCTCTAGATTCCCTAAAAAACGACATTTCTGCTCTAAATATATTAATATTTCAATTAACACCTCAATAAATGGCAAAACCCAGGTTTGCAGTGATAGAATCTAAAATGAACTTGGATAACAGTAACTAAAATTGTATTGTAAAAGACAGTCTTTGGAGTAGGGGAAAAAATAGAAGTCTTATCTCTATAATCATGACAGTCCGTCTTATTTTCACCAGAACAAACCAAGAGAAATACAGTCAATGTATAGCAACAAGGATTTGGGTTAAATAGACAATGGCAGTAAAGACTGTCAAACTCTGGCACTAGGGATTACCAGGGACTGTACAATGCTCTTCCCTGGAGACATTAAATTATTGGACCTGGTTTTGTTTTAAAAAAAAAAAAAAAAAGTCCCACTAGAGCCCAGAAGGAAACAATCAAGTTATATGTATGGAGTATTTCTAGCCTTAAAATTCATAAATCAAATCAGAAAATTAAAGTTAATCAAATACTATAGTTATAAAATCAGAATTAGTAACAAAACCAGTATTATATTCTTGTGTTTTTTTTATTGAAACAGAGACTTGCTCTATCATCCAGGCTGGAGGTGTGGTGGCGCAATCTCCAAGTTAACTGCAACCTACATCTTCCGAGTTCAAGCGATTCTCCTGCCTCAGCCTTCTGAGTAGCTGGGATTACAGATGCAAGCCAGTACAGCTGGCTAAGTTGTGTATTTGTAGTAAACACAGGATTTTATCATGCTGGCCAGGCTGGTCTAGAACTCCTGACCTCAAGCAATCCTCCCGCCTTGGCATTCCAAAGTGCTGGGATTACAGGTATAACAGCAACCAAGCCTCCCCCAATACTATACTTTTTTTTTCCAGAAAAAACAAACAAACAAACAAAAAAACCCAGAGCTTTATTATTCTCAATGCCAATTACAGCAGTCTTTGTAGGACAGGCAAGTAACTTTCTTGTGATCTGCCCACCTTGACCTCCCAAAGTGCTGGGATCACAGGCGTAAGCCACGGTGCCCCCCTTTATTTCCCCCCTCCCCCCACCCCCACTCCTTACCCAGGCTAGAGTGCAATGGTGTGATCTCAGCTCATTGCAACCTCTTCCTCCTGGGTTCAAGCAATTCTCCTGCCTCAGCCTCCTGAGTAGCTGGGATTACAGGCATGTGCCACCATATCCAGCTAATTTTGTATTTTCAGTTAGAGACAGGGTTTCCCCATGTTGGTCCCAAACTCCCTGACCTCAGGTGATCCGCCCGCCTCAGCCTCCCAAACTGCTGGGATTACAGGCCTGAGCCACCGTGCTGGCCCTTTTGACTTTTTAAGGAGGCTTCATTACATAGGCATGACTGATTAAATCACTGGCCACTGGTGATCAATTCAACCTTCAAGCCCTCCCCCCAGAGGTGGGGGGTAGGGCTATGAATTCCAAACCTATGAGCATTAGGTTGGTTCCCCTGGCAACCATTCCTCTACCATGTGGTTACCAGGGGACTTCCCAAAAATCACCTCATTAAGGTAAGCTCAGGTGTGGTTGAAAGGGGCTTGTTAAAAATAACAAAACAGTGCCTTTCACCATTATCCTTCCAGAACTGTTCACACTTGTTTCAGACACAAAGGCCAAAAGGCCAAACATTTTAACAAAAGATATTCTTACTGCTCTATCATTTAGAAAATTACAAGGGTTATAGAAGCTGGGAGCCAGGAACCGTAAACAAAAACCTAAAAATATGTATATATTTGTTTATAATTAATGTATCGACTGAACACAAGTACTTCACAGGCACTTAAAACAATTTACCTTAAAAAATTAACAGTTTTGGCCAGGGGTGGTGGTTCACGCCTGTAATCCCAGCACTTTGGGAGGCTAAGGTGGGCAGATTGCCTGAGGCTGGGAGTTTGAGACCCAGCCTGTCCAACATGGCGAAACCCTGTTTCTACTAAAAATACAAAAATTAGCCGGGTGTGGTGGCAGGCACCTTGGGAGGCTGAGTAAGTTAACGTTCGTTCATGTGCTCTTGAACCTGGGAAGAGGAGGCTGTGGTGAACCAAGATTGTGCCACTGCACTCCAGCGTGGGCAACAGAGAGCAAGACTCAGTCTCAAAAAATAATAATTGTAACAGTTTTAGGCCAGGCACGGTGGCTCATGCCTGTAATCTCAGCACTTTGGGGAAGACAGGTAGATCACTTGAGGTCAGGAGTTCAAGACCAGCCTGGGCAACATGGCATAACTCCATCTTTACTAAAAACACAAAAATTAAGGCTGGGCACAGTGGCTCATGCCTAAAATCCCAGCACTTTGGGAGGCCGAGGCAAGTAGGTCACTTGAGGTCAGGAGTTCAAGATCAGCCTGGCCAACATAGTGAAACCCCGTCTCTACTAAAAATTAAAATATTAGCGGGGCATGGTGGCACATGCCTGTAATCCCAGCTACTCGGGGGGCTGAGGCAGGAGAAATCACTTGAACACAGTAGGTGGAGGTTGCAGTGAGCCAAGATCATGCCATTGCACTCCGCCCTGGGTGAGAGAGTAAGGCTCCATCTCAAAAAATAAAAATAAAAATAAGAATTACTGCTGATCCGTGAGCCAAGATCATGCCATTGCATTCCACCCTGGGTGAGAGAGTAAGGCTCCATCTCAAAAAATAAAAATAAAAATAAGAATTACTGCTGATCCTTCACAAACACTCCTGAAAAGAGGAGGAAGAAACACTCCAATTCATTCTATGAGGCCAATATTTATCAAAACCAGACAAAGACATTACAAGAAAACTATAGATCAATAAAACCTTATAATTACAAAAATCCTCAACAAAATACTAGCAAACTGAATACAGCAATATATTCAAAAGATTATACACCATGATCAAGTGAGATTTATCTCAGCAACATGGGTTGCTTTAATACCAAAGACCAGCTAACATAGTATACCACAATCAATTAATGTAATATACCACATCAATACAGTAAAGGGAAAAAAAGCATACGATTGTCTCAACAGATGCAGAAAAAAAAAATGTGACAAATTTTAACACTCTTTCTTGATAAAAACACTCCACAAACTAGGAATAAAAAAGAATTTCCCAAAACTAATGCAGGGCATCTACAAAAAAACCCACAAACTGGGCGGGGTGGCTCACACCTGTAATCTTGAACTTTCAAAGGCCCGCGGGCAATCACAAGGTCAGGAGTTTGAGACCAGCCTGACCAACATGGTGAAACCCATTTCTACTAAAAATACAAAAATTAGCCAGGCGTGGTGGCACGTGCCTATAATCCCAGCTACTCAGGAGGCTGAGGCAGGAGAACCGCTTGAACCCAGAAGGCAGAGGTTGTGGTAAGCTGGGATCACACCATTGCACTCCAGCCTGGGTGACAGAGCTAGACTCCCTCTCAAAAACAAAAACAAAAAAAGCCACAGCTTATACTATACTTAATGGTGAGACACTGAATGCTTTCCCCCTAAGATCAGGACAAGGATGTCTGCTTTCACCACTTCAATACCTGTGACTTCTTCTAGCCAGGGCAATTAGGCAAGAAAGAAACAAAAGCCATCAAACTAAAAAGAAAGAAGTAAAATGATGAGTGCTCGCTTCGGTAGCATAAATACTAAAATTGGAACGATACAGAGAAGATTAGTATGGCCCCTGCGTAAGGATGACATGCAAATTTGTGAAGCGTTCCATATTAAAAAAAAAGAAGAAGAAGTAAAATGATGACCCTGTATATAGAAAATCCTAAAGAATCCACTTAAAATCTATTAGAGTGAACAAATGAGTTCAGCAAGGTTGCAGGATACAACACTAATACACAGAAAATCAGATGTATTTCTGTATGGTAGCAATAATCAAACCAAAAATGAAATTAAGAAAGCAATTTCAAGCCAGGCATGGTGGCTCATGCCTGTAATCCTAGCTTTGGGAGGCTGAGGCAGGAGGATTGCTCGAGTCTAGAAGTTCGAGACAACCCTGGGCAATATAGTGAAACCCAGTCTCTAAAAAGAATACAAAAATTAGCTGGGTGTGGTGGTGCATGCCTGTAGTCCCAGCTACTCGAGTAGCTGAGGTGAGACAATCACCCGAGCCTGGAAGGTGGAGGCTGCAGTGAGACATGATGGTACCACTGTACTCCAACCTGAGTGACAGAGTAAGACCCTGTCTAAAAAAAAAAAAAAAATTAGCCATCCATACTAGTGCGCACCTATAGTCCCAGCTACTTGGGAAGCTGTGGTAGAAGGATTGTTTCACCCCAGGAAGCTGAGGCTGCAGTGAGCCACGTTCTCACCATTGCACTCCAGCCTGAATGACAGAGTGGCCCCGTTTCTTAAAAAGATAAAAAGAAAAAACTCAGCTAACTTATTCGCAGAAATTCACAAGCTGATCCTTAAATTCAAAAGATCCAGAAAAGCCAAAACAACCTTGCAAAAGAACAAAGTTAAAAGCCACACACTTGGCTGGGCACGGTGGCTCACGCCTGTAATCCCAGAG